ATCCCATTACTAAACTTGTGATCCATCTGATTCTCTTCAGTTTATGTTTTTAATCCTGCTGTAGAAGTTCTTTTGCTAAACTGAACTATATTTCAATACAAAGAAATGGTTAGACCCAAGTTTTAATATTCATAGCTCGTTTTTATTTCACTAGCACAGTTGCACAGTTTTGTGGTTTGTTTTTTTTTTTGTCATGCTAGAAATGTCACTGGTTTCAGACTTAGAGCTGCTATTTTAAGAGACATCTTGGAATATAAAAACAAAAAGCTCACAGAAACCTTCAATATTTCTCTGATTTCTTCTTCAATTTAATCACAAGTTTGATGGGATTAGAATGCAAAACAACAACTACCTCATAGTTCTTTTTTGACTGTATTTATTAAAATATGCAATAATAGAGGATAGTTTGATAGATATATCAATCGGCATTTCCTTTAAAAGTGATGCCATATTTGTTCTCTGTTTCTGTAAAAATAATGCAAGGCCTGAAAGGTTACTGACATATCAACAGAAGAAATAGATTTTGAGTTGCTGGCTATGTCCTTTGGAATTTATTTTTTTAATATTTCATCAAAGTGTAATTAACCCTAGAGCAATGGATAAAACCCACCATCATCAACTGGAAGAATAGCCTTGTCTTTTAACGGCTACTGGTCATATAATGTTCTTTCGATAACACTTCCCTTCATGTAAAAGCTGTATCAGATTCATTACCACTCTTCACCGCCACCACAGACAGAATTCTACACCTTCCCCTCTCTATACAAATACCCTCTTCTGTTGTTTAAGAATTGTGGCCTGTTAAAGCAATAACGTAGTAAAAATGAAGACAACAACAAGTAGTTCTATCATGTGAGGAAAATAGCACCAGTATCAAATAACTGTGAGCTTTATTTAATAAAGGAATAGTGGGAAGTTTTTATTTCTCTAACCTACTTTAAAGTTTGGGAGAGGAGAAGAAAAGGAAAGTTCTTTTCTGGTTTAAATATTTGGTGGTGTAGTGTATCATCCTTATGAATTAAAAAATATGCAGCATGATTTATGTCTGCAAACAGTTGCTGATGTTAAAGGGAAAAATGTATATACATGTATATCAGTGAGGGAGCCTTTTTAAAAAAATAAATATATTCAAGAAGAAATCATAATGCACTTTATACAGTTGCTATAGATCAGTCTACAGTGCTAAATATTTACATAATCATAGAATAGTTTGGGTTGGAAGGGACCTTAAAGATCATCTAGTTCCAACCCCTCTGCCATAGGCATGGACACATTCAACTAGACCAATCTGGCCTTGAACACTTCCAGGGATGGAGCAGCCACAACTTCCTGGGCAACCTGTCTCACCACCCTCATAGTGAAAAATGTTTTCCTAATGTCTAAATCTTCCCTGTCAGCTTAAAGTCGTTATTCTATCACTACATGCCCGTGTCAACACTCCTTCTCCAGCTTTCTTGTAGGTAAATAAGTTTTACAGATTTTTCTAAAGAAGTTGCTTAACATGACTGGCTTTATTGCGTAATGACCTTTTGAATTTGGAGTACTCCCTTTGCAAGTGCAATGTTATGTAATTCTTTCCTCTAAAATTTTGTGGTGACTTGTGTTGATGGCTTCCTTTACCGTTAACAGATATCACTGGCTCAAAGTCTGGTTTAGTTCCTTGTTTTGTTATAAAGCCCAATTTCACTGAGCCAATAGGTTTCAGTGTAGAAAAATTATTCTGCTTATTTCTGTCTCCTAATAAAAACTTAGACTGAGAACAGCAAAGGCAATTATTCCAGGAGATTTTCAAATTATAAAAATACAGATTTTTTTTTTTTAAATGCTGAGATTTAGGAGTTAATTTCTCCAGATCTATGAAATAATAATGACAAAAAAAGATGTTTATTTTTTCCATGATAGAAAAAAATAAAATAAAATATGTCAGTGACTGCTTTTTCGCTCCTTTGAAATATTCATAGGTAGCTTTTACTGGTTTTAAATGTTCTTTCTTCAACAATCCTGTGTACAACTGCCAACAAGATGGTCTTAATAAAAGTAGTAAATGCCAACGTCATAATCTTGTTCTTCCTTGCAGTTGATGTCTCCTAAGGACTTCATGCTCCATATTGTAGTACAATGGTGCATATTACCATTAGTTCACTACACAGTCCTTCTGAATTGGTCATATTTATCCTATTTTAATTCTGCTTACCCTCTTACCCTCACAGTTATCATCTCCCCTAACCTGAGCTGTTCACAGTCTGTGCATTCTAACTTATAATTAATATCTTCTTTAAGTAAATAGCTTTTCTGTTCAGCCTCTGTTTTCCACAGTTTCAGTAATTTCTTTTCATGACCTTGCATATTTTATGACTTCTTGGCAATGATTATTTGAACATGGATGTCTCCTAAGCATTTCTCCCCTCCCTGATCCTTCTTGGATTCTCTGTCCCTGGACAAAATCTCCGAGTGGTCACAGCAGTTGTCTCATTACCTCATCTCCTTCTGACAAATGTTGTTTTCTTTGGTTTTTCAGTTCCCATAGAAACCTATTTAGATACACAGCCAATTCAACTTGATATTATAGCTGGCTGTTGTTTGGAGACAGGGGTGGTACCCCAGGTGGAAAGAATGCCTGGTCCTGGTTCTCCTAGCCTGAGCATGAGGAGGTAGTGCACCCACCCCATGAACTCACAGGGGAGGGCGAGTCCAGAGTAACTGAGAAATCATTAGGTTCTGTGATGCTCATTATAGACCTTCATTTCATAGGTGCAAGCCAAATCACAGTTCATATAAACACTAAAAATACGTCGTGTTTACAGTGCTTTTAAGTCTTGACAGCAGCTGCAACAATAGCAGCTCCTCATTTCATGCCTTTATAGAGTCTTTCTCACAACCGCTATGAATAGAAACTCCGCTTTTCTTACAAAAGGGAGAGAATTTTCTTAGAAACCAATGATTTCAGGTCTTTCTTACCTGTGAGAACTTTCTATTTGTGTCAGGTGAGAAGGACTCTGAAAATATTTTTTTAATGTAGCAAGTAGAGAGACAAGAGCTACAGTGAAACATCAGTTTGCTAGGCAGAAATATAAGGCATTATCTGCGTCTCTGCCAAACTTTTAGCCTGTCAAAATCACACCCAACTTTATAAAATTAAGGTAAAATGTTTAACAACCTGGAAGTGTAAATTAAAGCATAAAACTTCTAATGGTTAGCAATCTCTCAGCCTCAGCTGATCCACCTGCACACTGAGCCTCAGCAACTATATGTCTTAACTTGGCACTAAATCCCACATACCTTTCTCACACGACTAACCTGCTGAATGTCAGCAGACCTGCACCTATGAATAACATTATAACATCTGATAAGCTGATTATGAGATTCTTGACATTTTCATGCTGCATAAATCCTATGCAGATGTATGGTACTATAAAGCAGTAACAACTGTTGTTGTTCAGGAACTTGTTTTCAACTATTATTAAAATGTTATGGAAACAATATGAGGAGAGCTATATCTAGAATAAACTGAAAAGCATTGTTCACCTTCTTATTGCTCCATCTCTGGATAGATTTTTTTTATTCTCCAGCACACTCTGAAATGTGCTTCTGAACACTGATAAGCAGTAATGCATTGGTAGTAAATTTAAGACACACTAAAATAAATTTTCAAGGATGAGTGCTGCTTGATAAGGCAGAGTACTTCCTCCTATTCAGGCACCTGAAAGACCACTTTTTGGTCTAGGTCTTTCAAAGGACATTTAGATATAGAATATACAATCTGGGTGTACACATGAACGTCCAAATGAATATAATCATCCTGATTTTTCTCTTGTTGTTTGTGGTTTAGACACTTGTATATGAAAACCAAAAATATTATATTAATATTTTGTTTCATTTGCCCTTAATGTAGCTGTCAGGTAAAAAGTTCTCTCACTTGTGATTGAGTATTTGTAATTAGTTTGCTGTTTTTATAATTCCATGGTCTCCTGAGAAAACAGGTGATGCAAATTCAATGATGGAAAATAGAAAACACAAAATAGTACAAAGGATTAGATGCCTAAATCTCTGAATGAACAACTGTGGATCCTGAAAACTTGCTTTTAACAGCTGATTCATTTTCATAGCATCTGAATGAGAAAATTATGATTTCTTTGTTTTGTCTCCTTTACGGCACAAGAAGAGTTCTGAGGTTTTATTTGTCTGTTGGATTCTTAATAGTAGAATTATTGAAGTAGTATTTGCTACTTAGCATTTGTCAGTCTGTTTTCTTAGTGTAATTTTTGATAATTTTTTTTCCTCTTAAAAAGTAAATAGGGGAAATTATTGATTTGATGAGAAAAAAAAACTACATTAGACAAGGGATACCATTATAGGGAAAAAAAAGTTGGAGATTTTTCCTCTTCTGAGGGGGTAAATTTTGCTAGCCACTAAGGGAACTGGAAAAAGGAACAGAAAGATGCTAAGTTCTTCAGTACCTAAGTGCTTTAAGTGTTTGGTTTTTCGTTTGACTGGGGGGTTTTGCCACTCATTTGTAAAGAGGTGCATTTTCTCTTCTGACAGGATCCAGTGACCAGACAGCTCACTACTTTTCCAGCTTAGGCTTTTCATTAGAATTATTTAAGGTCTGTGGAACAAGAGAAAAAAGTCCTCTTTAAGGGGAAAAAAAAAAGAAAAAAAGGCACAAGGGATGCATAGGTAAAGAAGCAGAGGCTTGAGTCATTGTAGAAAACCACAGTGAAGAAATGAAAGGAAGACATTTGAGGAAAAAAAAAGTAATTGTGGGAGCTTGCGAGTGGAAGTAAAGAGCAAATATAAGGCTAGGTGGGGAAGGAAAATACCAGGTTTTAGTAAGAGGAAGAAGAGAGTAAAAACAATTTAGAGAGGAAATTGGAATTTAAGAGAAGTGAATGAGAAGTGTGTCAGAAAAGAAAGAAGCAATAGAAATATACACATGGAAGTGGAGCAGCCTAGGATAAACGTCTGGAGGGAAGAAGGTATTAGTGGTGCTGGGACACAGCATGAGTGTCAGATTGCACAGTAGGAGAGAAACAAATGTAAGTGTATTTGTACTTGAGGAGCTGGAAAATGGAATTTGTGAGCTTACAGAGTTAATAAGAAATCTCTCACACAATGTAATAAGCAAAATTGTTCTATCCTGCACATTTTATTATGGATCATATGCTCTTCTAAAATCACCAGTATTGTGATCCTCCCACACTCACAAAAGAAGAAAAGGGCTAACTGCATTTCTTGAATCAACGTGTTTTAGGGTTGTGAAGAATTTAAAGGCAAGCAATAAAAAAAAACAAAAGGCTTTTTTTTTTGTGAATGTTAAAATAATTCTGAATTATAGTTTACTCTATTAAAATTCATTGAATCATCTGACCATCACCTGTTCACAATTTTAAAATTAAATGTCACAGTAGCATTTGGCCCTTCTCAAGTTAGACGTCAAAGATGTCAGAATGTAACAGGATAAAAGAGCATTTCAATCAAATATGCAAAGAAATCATATAGACAAAGTACTTACCTATTAGATCCAGTACCACAATCCTTATGTACTTTTCATGAGGAATATTCCCTTAAGTAGAATAACAGCTTGGGCAGTATCTTTTTTTAAATTTTTACATTTTAAATTTTTATCATCGTTATAGATTATTCTTTGCTAGTAATTTTTATTGTCATTGTATTTAGTTGCTTTACTTAAATTCATAACTGTTGTCTAAGTTATAAAATGTCAAAGAATTGTCAGTGATGTTTTATTTTTTTTTCTTCTTACTAGTAATAATCATAATGGAATATGATATACTTTCCAGCTCTTGTTTAATAGACTGTCAATTACATTGGAATTGTTCTTCAATGATAAAAAGAAAATAAAATTTCATTTTAATGGGCTAAGATATTCAAATGTATTTTGATGAATGAGGAGTATGCTGATGGCAATTACACAGTCTAATTAGATCATGCAGATGCCATAACCAGACTGCATGATACGTACTGGTGCCATTTTTACATTGCTAGTACTGCTTTAATTTATGGATAAGAAAGAAATATCATATGTCAATTCAGCATACAATAATACACCATGTACAGTATGCTTCCTTTATCTGTTCAAAGACAAGAATTATTTTAAGATACATATAATCTAGTGTCATGGTTTAAACCCAGTCAGGCAACTCGTTCACTCACTTCCACCCCTTTTCTTTCCCTCCCCCTACTCCCGGAGGGACAGAGAGGAGAATCAAAAGAATGCAACTCCCATAGGTTGAGATAAGAACAGTTTAGTAACTAAGGTATAACACAAATCACTACTGCTACCACCAATGATAATAATGATAAAGGGATAACAAGGGAAGAGAATACAACACCTCACCACCAGCCGACCAATAACTCGCCCCCCCCCCCCCCCCTTCAGCCCGACCAAGCACCGACTGATACCTCCTCCAACCCTGCAGTCTACCAGCCCTTCTGGGTAACTCTCAGTTACATGCTGGGCATGACGTGCTGTGGTATGGAATACCTCTTTGGTCAGTTTGGGTCAGGTGTCCTGTCTCTGCTTCCTCCCGGCTTCCCCTCCTCCCTGGCAGTGCATGAGGCTCACAAAGTCCTTGGCCAGACCAAAACATCATTGTTATCAGCTCTGTTCCCAGGCCAGAAGTCAAAACACTGCAATGCACCAGGAACCAAGAAGGAGAAAAATGACTGCTACTGCTGAGACCAGGACATCTAGAAATCAATTAAATAGCAAAAGTTTCCAGGATAAGTATTGATTTTTTAACGCTTCTGGACAAAGTGAAAATAAAAACTGAGAACTTTGTTTGAAAGATACAGAAACTCATGTGGATTTAAAAAAATGTGTGAGTCTAAACCTTAAAATGACTATTTGAATAAAATGTTTAACCTGTATGTTTTGCCAACTCAAACTATAAAGATGTTTTCTTACTAATAATTATATATATATATATATGCAATTCCCTGCAACACTTACATTCACTCACTAAAGACACACACAGATATTTACATGCCCAGTTTGCTGGTTTATTGTGGTGTTTGTTTGTCTTTTTAAATCAAAAGAACACGTGACTTCTTTTTAAAGATTTTCAGAGATCTGGACCATAGCAGCTTAAATGTAAAATCTCTTATATCCCACAAGAACTCTTGAATAGGCTCTCCTACCTTTTCACTTCTGGTGTAGTTTAAAAAAATGCCTCAGAGCTTGAATAGTCCTCTTTCAGCTGTAACTTCTATATATTATAGAAGTCTCAGATTTTTCTTTAATTAATTTTATGATTTGCATTATCATTTTGAAAAAAAAAAAAAAAAGAAGTAACTAGGGAAACTGTAAAATATCCTACTGTGCTATAAGGCACAAATAGACAAGCTCAAGACTACAGTGAAGCACTTACAAATAGTTTTACGAAGACAAATGATTACTTCATACAACATTTAAGCTTGTAGTTATGTTCCCTTGTTGCATGCAGGAGGAAAGGAATAAGTAAAGATTCTGTTCTTATCCTCCAATTACATGATACAGATGCTGAAGACAGCCCTTTGAGTCATATTAATTGTCTGTTGAATTGATACTTAGCTAAAGGCTTAAATGATGTATTCTAAATTAACACTGCTTCTTAGACTTTTTTGTAACTAGTGTAATGATTTAAAGGTCAGTTCATATGAGATGTGTAATTTTCATTTGATTTAATGACTCTTGGTCCTCAAAAGCTTGACCTCTAGTATATTTAAAAGAAAATAATGCTTTCAGTGTCTACTAGTAGAGTTAATCTATTTACTTGAACTGTGACAACTCATTTTTCTCTGCATCCTCTCAGCAAGAATGTGGTCATTACAATGTTTACTGCAAATGGATATTCTACTACACAGTTTGTGCTCTTCCAGCTGAGTTATGAGGAAAATGCACAACTCACAAACCTATGCTCTCTCAGTTGGAAGTTTGTTAGCTGTCAGCAGAAACTTAATGATACCTGCCTCAGTCTCATGGCTGCTAATGAAATGGCCCGATTTCTGCATTGGAGAAGCATAGCTCAGGCCAAGCTAACTTCTATATGCAGTGTAATTTTTTGAAAAAATATACAACAGAAAGCAGTCAGATGAGCTGTAGTAGAGAAAGAAATCAAGAAGGAGAGCAAATATATACCTTATTATTAACCAGTATTTTGACAGAGCCTAGTGCTTTCCAGTGAGAATACAATGACTGAAGTTCTGTAGACTTTACTAACATGGGTGTCCTGGTTTTGGTTGGGATAGAGTTAATTGTCTTCCCAATAGCTGATACAGTGCTGTGTTTCAGCTTTAGACTGAGAAAAATGCTGATAACACACTGATGTATTAGTTGTTGCTAAGCAATGCTTCAAGCCGGAAGTAGCATGGGCCCAGGGGTGGGCTTGAGTGCCGTGTGAGGGGGTATGTAGGTGCTGCTGGAGGTGGTGTCGCAGTTGGAGAGCCTGGCGTTTGGGCCCGGCACTGCCGAGCCTCTGCCAGCCAGCGCAGGGGATGCGCTGAGTCCCCCAAGCCCCCGGGACGGCGGTAGGGAAGACCAGGCTCTGCCGCCTCCAGCGGAAGGAGCGTGCTATTCGCCACCGCCTGCAATCCCCAGCAGGCCTCCTGCAGCTGTCCCCTCATCAGACTCGGACAGTGATACAGATTCAGGTAGTTCATCAACTACATCTTCTTCGTTTTCACTTTCATCAGTGTCTGATGAAGATGATAATTCAAATTTGAAGGATAACAGATCTTACTGTATTAAAATAAAAGATGAGTTGCCTATTGATGACCTGCCTCCTGTTGAAGACTTAACAATCATTCTTCCTGATGATATTGAACTGAAGCTCTTTGGGACAGTTTCCAGCATCCCTGAGCAGCTAGTAATAATTGAATCACTTCTTTTTTTGTTTGTCTGATAGGCTGAGAAAGTTGGGGCTGTTCAGCCTGGAGAAGAGAAGGCTGTGTGGAGACCTCATAGCAGCCTTCCAGTATCTGAAGGGGGGCTATAGGGATGCTGGGGATGGGCTCTTCATTAGGGACTGTAGTGATAGGACAAGGGGTAATGGTTTCAAACTTAAACAGGGGAAGTCTAGATTGGATATAAGGAGGAAGTCCTTTACTGTAAGGGTGGTGAGGCACTGGAATGGATTGCCCAGGGAAGTTGTGAATGCTCCTTCCTGGTGGTGTTCAAGGCCAGGTTGGACAAAGCCTTGGGTGACAGGGTTTAGTGTGAGGTGTCCCTGCCCATGGCAGGGGTGTTGGAACTAGATGATCTTAAGTTCCTTTCCAACCCTAACTATTCTATGATCAAGGACTTTTCAGTCATGCTCTGCCAGTGAGGAGTTGCACAAGAAGCCATGAGAAAGCAGGGACAGGACACCTGACCCAAGCAAGCCAAAATATGTATTTGAAACATATTTTTCTAGATTTCCACGTCCTATCATATTGGGTTTGCACAGCTTTCTCTGGTCTACTGCTTGTGTGCACCCTTGGTCCTTTTGAGAGTTCAACATTTCAAATCCATTTTGAAGTTGGCTGATCATGGGATGCAATTCCACATTCACTCAGGCTTTTATAGATACGTGCATCTAAGCCAGCTGTATAGCAATAAACTATTGGCTCGAATCATTCCAGTTAGTAATCTAAAGCAAGCTTTAAAAATAGCTCTTGCACAGCTACATAAAGCCATAGATTTCTATTCTTGGTTACTTTGAGAACATCTCATCTTGTACAAAAATTTCATGCTTTCATAAAATATTGTTACCCTGTGTAACAGTTCACTGTTTATCAGATATTCTTCAGTAACACTGAATTAAAATTACTTGTTATGGCAATGATTAGAGTATTCTATCCTCTGTTTTGCTTTAATTGTTTTTTGTGCTCTCAGTTGAAGCCTACTGTCGTGGTTTAAACCCAGTCAGGTAATTAGTTCGCTCACTTCCCCCCCCCCTTTCTTGCCCTCCCCCTGCTCTCGGAGGGACAGAGAGGAGAATCGAAAAGAATGCAACTCCCACGGGTTGAGATAAGAACAGTTTAGTAACCAAGGTATAACACAAATCACTACTGCTACCACCAATGATAATAATGATAAAGGAAATAACAAGGGAAGAGAATACAACACCTCAGCACCAGCGAACCGATAACTCGCCCCCCAAGCCCGACCAAGCTCCGACCGATACCTCCTCCAACCCTGCAGTCTCCCAGCCCTTCTGGCTCACTCCCAGTTTCATCCTGGGCATGACGTGCTGTGGTATGGAATACCTCTTTGGTCAGTTTGGGTCAGGTGTCCTGTCTCTGCTTCCTCCTGGCTTCCCCTCCTCCCTGGCAGAGCATGAGGCTCACAAAGTCCTTGGCCAAACCAAAACATCATTGTTATCAGCTCTGTTCCCAGGCCAAAGTCAAAACACTGCACTGCACCAGCTACCAAGAAGGAGAAACATGACTGCTACCGCTGAACCCAGGACACCTACCACCTGAAGGGAGACAGAATATCCTTTCTTTAACCTTGAAGTTATAGTACAAGAAAAGAGACTTCTGACTAGAGAACACTTCAGGCTAAATCCTAGTTTTAAATGATTCTCCTTTTGTAACTGAACTTACATGTGAGAAAATACAGTCTTGTTAGCTGATGCGGCTACACAAGCTAAATTTTCTACTGGTAACAAAATGCTGTATATTATGTTTAACAAGTATTGTTGAAATGAGAAAACTGATGTTAACGTTAAGATTTTGTAGAGAATCCAGGTTTTAATTTCATCCTATGACATCCTTGTCTCCAATTGGAGAGACACCAATTTGATAGATGGACCACTCGGTGGATAAAGAACTGGCTGGATGGCCACATTCAAAGAATTGTGGTCAGTGGCTCAATGTCCATCTGGAGACCAGTAACAAGTGGTGTCCCTCAGGGATTGGTATTGGGACCTGTCTTCTTCAACAACCTTCTTGGTGACATGGACAGTGGGATTGAGTGCACCCTGAGCAAGTTTGCTGATGACACCAAGCTGTGGGGTTCAGTTGATACCCTGGAGGGAAGGAATGCCATCCAGAGGGACCTTGACACACTTGTAACATGGCCTGATGCCAAACCTATGAAATTCAACCAAGCTAAGTGCAAGGTTGATCCAAGCTGGATCAGGGCAACCCCAGGCACAGCTACAGGTTGGGCAGAGAAGAGATTCAGAGCAGCCCTGCGGAGAAAGACTTGGCAGTGTTGGTTGGTGAGAAAATGAACATGAGCCAGCAGTGTGCGCTTGCACCCCAGAAAGCCAACTCCATCCTGGGCTGCATCAAAAGGAGCTTGACCAGCAGGTCAAAGGAGGTGGTCCTGCCCCTCTACTCTGCTCTCGTGAGACCTCACTTGGAGTATTGTGTGCAGCTCTGGTGTCCTCAACATAAAAAGGACATGGAACTGTTGGAACAAGTCCAGAGGAGGGCCCCCAAGTCCTTCTCCACAGAGCTGCTCTGAATCTCGTCTCTGCCCAAAGCAAAAAGGGTACAATAGTGATTTTTTATATCATTATTTTCAGATGAAAACAAATGCCATTAACTGCTGAAATTCAACATGGAACCTCAATTCCAACATCAGAAAAGAATTTGCAGGGTTAATTGAAGAACACTGCTACTAGAATATTAATAATTTTTGTCGTATGTCACAAATAAGGTAAGTTGTAGGACAAGATAATGGAATGGCAAAACCCTACAATCAATAAATTAGGAAAGTGAAATTCACACAGTGGCATTTTAGCTGTCTCATATCAGTTCGAAATAACATTAAGGCTAGGAAAGAAACTAGTTCAGTTTTGAAGTTGAAATATGATAAACACTGTAGGAAGAAAAGTTTTAGAGACACGAACTTATGGCAGAAGCTTTTTCCTAGGGATAGTGTACATCAAGATTCTAAAGCACAATTTCACAATGTTTGATCTGATAAGAGAGAAGCTTCTGAAGTCTTGAGAAAAATTACTGAATTACTGATTAATACTCTTTTTAAATAGTAATTTTAAGTGTATTTCAGCATATAGTCCAAACACTACTATAGTCTGTTCCTATTGTAAGTGCTTAATGCAAGTCCCAAGACTATTTCAGAGAGAACTTTGCAAAAGCAAATAAAGAAATCTTAAATTACTTTGAGAGAGTATATAGGTGGAATTTGAAGAAAAACCTTTAACATTAGAAATAAATTATCTACTTCAAGATAGTGATAGATAAACATTGGGTTTTTTTTGGTTGCATTGACATTTGACAGTGGGATTTTGTAGAAGGGTCAGCATATTTGTGGTGTTTAGCCATAGTTTATATATTTTATTTAATCTATATGCCAAGCTTATCTAATTGCTATGCACTGTCACTGTTAAAAATATCTTTCCTGAAAGATTATTTACTCCTGCTACCCTACTCCTGCTTTGGATTGAAATGTAAATGAACCATATCTGTAGTTTTAAGTTCACCAGTCAAACCTGAGACAGACTGATTGCAAATAAAAGTAAATTAATCTCCTGCCACTTTTCAGTGTAGTGATCAAAAGTCAAATAATATATATATGTGTGTGTATGTTTGTGTGTATGTTTGTATGTATGTATGTATGCACATGTGCAGCTTGCCATGCCCACCTTAGTCATCTCATTCTTTGGTCTATTGGATAGGTCACTGATAATTGTTCCATGACAGATTTCAAAATTGCATGTAAAATGCGATCTAGGAAATCACGCTTTTTAACCTAATAATGTTACATGCTAGTATATCATTTTAAACACTTTTGTTGTCTAGCAAATGGAGGCAAATGAGCAATTTAACAAAACATTAAAATATTTTGTGCATTATGGTTCACTTCATCTGTAAATTGAAATGTCAGAACTTTTTCTATTCCACATGTTCAAAAATCACTATGTATTTATTTTATCTCTTTACAAGCTAAAAAGCAGCATATTTTTGAGTGAGGAAGAGATATTGGGATGTAATGAAATAATTGTTCAAGCTATCTCTGCAGTTTCACGTATTTGGCAATCTTTGTAGTTTTTCTATGTCTTTCCTTCTGATTTTATATCTTTACTGATATTAGTTGAATATGTTGTAAAAACCCTGCAGAATTCTGTTTATGAATTCTGATTAAGATTATTAATGTTTTGTATGGATCTACACCAGGTTGCTGTCAGCAGTTTTACTTTGTTGCTTTTTTCAACCCAATATTAAAAAGCATCTCATAAAGGGGACAGTTCAGAGCTAGCAGGTCTATCGCTTTAAGGGCTCCATTGCTGACCTGTAATTTTTCTAACCAACAAGCTGTCTCCGTTTAAGAAAAAACTGGTTTGTCAAAGGGAGATTGGTGACAAATTGATTAGTTCCAGTAGTGATTCCAATCAGGTTTCCTGTTAAGGAGAGCGAGAGGAAAGTCAAAAAAGAATGAAAGTGGAGCTCTGTGATTTTTCAGTCGTGTTCAGCAAATAAGGCTGAGGAAGACCATCTGCATCCAGAAACAGAAATGGGGGAGGGATCCCTAGAATAGCCACAACACAACTGCATACACTATTGAGCATGAAGGCTTTTGTCATTAAAAGGTCTTGTATCAGGCAAAAGAGAATAAATATGTTGCATTCCTTACTAGCAGCCTATCACTTGGCTACTGTTACTCAGCCATATTTACCCCATTGATCGTGTACCTTTATTCACTCGGTTTCCAGATAAGACTAGGTGATGTTTGGTTTAAATGAGTGACAATGGTGCTACATATGTTGAAAGTCCATTATAATTAGGTTATAATTTGAGTTAACCTGCTGCCTTCTTTGTTTTGGTTCTTAGAGATAAATTATTTTTTTCCCACACACATTTCCTAACCCATCTTCCAGCTCCTTCCACTTTCAGTTCTCCTCCTTATCTATCTCCTTGCTAGACCTCCTGTTGGTCTAGGATCTGTAAA